AATCCAAGCAGTTACATGTTTAATTTAGTAGTTTTTATATATTGTGTTATTCTCATTTGTAATTGTCTGTGTATGAAAAAAAAATAGCAGATATCTATGTGAAAAAAAAAATCTTGAATGCATTTAGTAAACTACAGCGAGCTAAAGTATTACCAAGTGACTTTAATGTTTGCGTGACAAGAATTCATATATAGTGTATATATGTATGCACTATATATATATATATATATATTTTTTTTTTATTCCTTGTTTTGCGTACTTATTTTTTTAAAGATCATTGGTGGAAGGCAGAATAAAAGTAAAATTTTGTTTTCTTATTTAGTTTTGCCAAAAACATCCAGGCAGAGGAGTAGGATGGTTAAATGCTTCAAATTTATATAATTAAGGAAGAAATATACATATCTTATCTTTGGAGATTTCAAGGCAGCGGAGGGCGTAATGAAAATAAAGAAATACTTTCATTTTTTTCTGAAATTTCCACTTTTTTGTGGCAGCGGATGCGCTAATTGGCCAAATTGAATTACCTTAAGAATACAATTGCTGTTGACTAGGAGGTTGCCGGGTTTGATATCACGATGAAGTACTCCTGCCGAATGTAGATATTTTAAACCTAAAACATATAGAAAACAATACAAAATCATATACACAAATATTCCAGAAGGCTTAGAAATATAATTAATGCATAGAAGGATGTTAAACTTTCAACAGGACTATTTGCATGTTTGTCTTGTGGAAGTGAAAAAAGATGGCCTAAAAATGAATTTCATGTAATCAGTAAAAATGCAAAATATAATATAAAATAACAACCATAATATTTAATATAGTAAAAAGGATGGAATTCATAGATCTAAATGTGTTAATATCATAATTCTACCATATTACAAAATATGATGATTGGAGCAACATGAATCGTCATTATGTTTATGCCATATAAACACAAATGTTTCTTCATCAATGTTCGTTCAGACAGCCTCATTCATCAATGCTCCCTTAATTCTAGCTTCTCATACTTCTCTTGATTTTGTTGCTGTCGTATGTCGTGTTAACATACTTGACCTTTGCCCTTGCCGTGGATCACTGTCACATCCACATACAAAAGCTAATCATTAAACATGAGCATGCTACTACTACTAGTAATAACAAAACAAAATAATAAATGAGATTATTAACATTATCAATAAATAAATTGTCTGACAAACCTCGGAGAATCTGGTAGAGGAAGACTTTGACATGGTCGGAGCTAAGGGGCTGTGGTGATACAATTATCTTGTGCAAGTCGCTCTGAAGCAGCTCTGTGACTACGTATCTAATGTAACATTAAGGAACTCTACCAACTCATAGTCTGCAATGGTCTCTAATTATCACAAATACTCATAAATCATGGACATAAAGTACATCAAAATTCTAGTTGAAAGGGATCCTTGTTTAAGCATGGATGCCTCACAGTACACAAGTTCAGGTTGCTATTATAGCCTGGTCCAGCATAAGTTCAAGGCTAAATTCTCTTATTACTACTAAATAATCACTTAAGGCGAGACTTTTTTTTTTACACCTTGTTTCGCGAACTTATTTTTTTTAAAGATTGTCAGAGGACGGCGAAAAAAATATATAAATAAAATTTATTTTCTTATTTAGCAAATGGTTATGAAAAAAACATCGAGATGGAAGAGAAAATAAAAATAAAATTGTATGGTGAATGTAAACAGTGTAGTAATGGGATGGAAATGCTTTAAATTTATAAAATTAAGAAGAAATATACATTTCTTATTTTTGGAGATTTCAAGGCAGCGGCGGGCGTAATCAAAATAAAAATAATTTTTTTTTTTTTACATTTCTATTCTTTCTTGGCGGTGGGTATGCTAACAGGCCAAAAATAAAATTGTAATTTTATATGAAATCATCATTATTGGAGGGCGGAGGGTCTGCTAAACAAGGTATAAAAAAAGACTTGCCAAACTACTGATACAACATTAAGTGTTGTTGCAAGTTTTTCATGTATTTTTATCATATTTTAGTATACTGGTATTTTGTTTTTTAATATAATCTCTGTAATTTAATATATTTAATGTGTAAATTCTTATTATAACTTTTGAATGCACTGCAATAACCACAAGTGCCACTGATAAAAAAAGTGCACATTCAATAAAGATTATTATTATTATTCATAAACCCATGACACTATTTTTCTTATTCTATCATTATTGATAAACAAATGATGATAAACATTAAAAAAAATGTTTAGGTAAACATTTCAATGTTTAAATACTGTATTTCCACACTAATTCTTTACATAATGAAATTTTGATCACTAATGAATTATTACTGATAATTTAATTCATTTTCAAATGTATTACTTGCTTTTCATTTATTTGCATCAAACCTCCCAAATGAGAAGAAACTGTATACAATTTAAAATGGTGTAAAACATAAAACAATATTAAAAATGGCAATACAGTAGTAATTCAAAATTGTACAAATTTAATGTGAAGATATTTTGGTATATACTATTTGGTGGAAGAACATATTATCAACATAATCAATAATATTTTTAAGTTGAAGTATATATTTATTTTTTATCTGTGAACAAACAACCGGAATTTCAAGCCATATATTTTACTGCATGTTTGATAATAAATATTGAATTGAATTGATTATTACAGTAACTTGCATCCTATTAAGAAATTGCAGAGGTCCCAAGTCTACCGATACTTGCGGTAGTCTACCGCTTTTAGCGACGATCCACTACGCTACCGTAGCTTACGTTTTTCTACCACATGAAAAAAATTCTCCCATAATTTTTTTTGAAAAATTGAGTAGGCTATTTAATTTTGAATATTTGCATAGAGTTAAATTTATCAAGCTGTTTCATGAAAATAATCACACAATTATTAATTAATAGTCGAAAATAATAAGTAAAAATATGGCTAAAGCGAAGAAACACAAAATACATGTGCTTTTAATTAACAATTCAAGAAGTACGTTCGCCACTGGTGGCGCACCATCAGGTCAACGAACTCAACTCTGGAAAAAGTATATTGTTTGAAAACATGGAGGTCCATGTTGTTGGTTATGCTGTAATATCGGTGAAGAACGGTAGAAAGATATTCAAAGGTATGTTTTTAAACAGTTTTATGTTATTGCGTATGGCGTATTTTGTACAAAATAATGTACATAGTAAAAATCAATAAAAAACATATATAAAATACATGAAAATACATAAAATGTTATTCTTATTACAATTATCATCACAATTATAATCATTATTACAATCATTATCATTTATTATTATTATTAGAGAATAAATAGTAAGTTTTAATAACAATAATAAGCTGTAATATAAATTTAAAAGAGCATCAACAATTAATTAATTGGGGCTTTCAATAAAATATTAAACATTAGATAAAAAGGAAAACTGATTACAGAGCCAGACAAAAAAAAAAAATTGGAATGCATGAATGAAACCTCATTAATCCTAGTAGTATTATAAAAACACCAGGAATATTTCAAATGGAGTCTTGGTGCCAGAATTTCAAGCCGTATATTTTACTGTTTTTGATAATAAAGATTGAATTGATTATTACAGAAGCTTGCATTCTATTTAAGAAATTGTTAATCATTATAATAGAGAATAAATAGTAAGTTTTAATAACAATAATAAGCTGTAATATACAGTAAAATTAAAATGAGCATCAACAATTGATTAATTTGTGCTTTCAATGAAAATGTAAATATTAGATAAAAAGGAAAACTGATTACAGAGTGAGAAAATAAAAATTAGAATGCATGAATGAAGACTCATTAAGCCTAGTAGTATTATAAAAACACTTGGAATATTTAAAATGGCATCTTGGTGCCATGGCAATTTATTATACTAGAAAGATGTAAGTTCTATATAATCATCAACAAAATATAATTTGTTCCACTTCGTTATTTTTATTTTTTTAGAGTGATCTTATATATAATTGCCTCTGGGAATTTCCCTTTGTTTGGTTTCATCTACATCTCTTTATCTTATCGGTCAGCAGTAGCTTTTTTTTGTAGCTTATATTGTTGTTTGATGCAAATGAGAGAAAGAAACAAAAGAATTTATCAAAGACCCCTTTTTGTTGTTGTCATCTTTTTAAGATCAAGTGGATAATGTAAATTACCACTAATATATGTTATTCTAGCAACAAAAGGGACTGTAATGCGAAAGAATAATTAAATAAGTTATTAAAAATGGAGATGGCATTCAAAGAGGATAGGGATGTGAAACTGAATTACTCTAAAAATTACACAATGATGTTGATGAAGACTGAAAAGAGTAAACAATAACATTTCACAAAAACTAATAAGAATTATTTTGAGGGTTCCAAATGATTAGCTGTTGGTGGATGGTTCACCTTCCTTAAATACTGTACAGACAGAATTAAATACAGTGGATTATATTAAAAAGGATACATTTCTTCAAAGAAATCAACTGGAGGTGGTTGTAGGATGTCGAGAGCTTGTAAAACCTAAAAGAAAAAAGATATATACTTATGTCAAATAAATAATTAATGAATTGAAAGAGATCATAAAATGATTTAAACAATAAACACTGGATTACTGCCCTGTCGTTACCATTTTACTAAAATCATGTGGTGCATAGATGTTACAAACACTAAAACACTAGAATTTGGCTTTTGTCTATAATACTTTTACTCCAGGATGACATATTTTCAATCACCACCGTGATTAGGCAATGCAATTTCTTTTGGTCAAATATATTTAAGTTACAAATTTATTATTAATAAAATTTTAAAAAAATAATAAAAGCACATCATGAAATATAAATAGGCCAACAGTATCTTATTTAAACCATGAATGACTAGAAGGCTGTCTACTACTTGATAATTCCACTCTTATTTCATATCTTAGTATTCAAGAAAAGTATGAATTATATTGCCATAGTAACGATACCAACAAGATTGATTCTTGTTTTTCTAGCATTTTTCATAGAAAAGGAATCAATTGGGTGACAGCGAAGTTGAAAATAGAATAGATAAATCGACTATTTATATGGATGTGTCTAACCATGAGGATATGCTAATTAACACCTCAAATTTACTAGTTAAGTCAGTTATCCCAAAGAAGATAAAACAAAAAAGAGTAAAAAATTAATGAAATAAAAAACAGGAATGAACTAAAAAATATGAACTAATTGAAGTAGTAAAATTGATTCTTTTTAATTTAGTGCCCTACTGATTCTAGGTATTATGAATTTCACTTTATGAGGGGCCGACAAAAAAAGAAGTGAGCGCTCCAAAGTGTCATTTTTTTTGCTAACGCGAGTAGATAAAAGTCACTTTTCAGATGGTGTTTAAAAACTTGCTGCACAGCCTTTAGTAAATTATAAAAATCTGACGAAGTTATTGAAGAAAGCCATAGTTAAATACTTTATTCATCACTCAGACTAAATTGGCATCAAAAGGCATTATAAAAAAAAAAATCTAATTTGTATTCAATAACCTAAAACCAAGAACAAATGAAGTGTTATGGTGTGAAAATGAAAACACAGAGCACAGAAAAAAACAAAAAAATAGTTTCCACACACATATCTGACTAGTCACATAGACAATAAGTGATTGATTGCAATGAATCTATGGACTATCCATACATGAAAACACTACCATTACATCAAACAAATGAAGCTGTTTCATTACATGCACCGTTAAATCAAACAATACATCATGTTTAAACCATATTTAGAGAGGGGAACATTCCAACTAAGCCTAGGGGGTCAAATGATTTCCACCAGGGCTTTTAAAGAGACATTGAAATTTACACAAAACAAATACTGAATATTTATAGAACGATATAAATTAAGCCATATCAAAGTTGATTAACAAGTAGAAAAAAAAAATCCAGAAAAACGATACAAATATTATGCTCAGTTTGTCAGATTTGCACAAATTGACATACATGTTGACAACCAAGATTATTTTCAACAAAGAAAAAATTAGTGTAATTTCACGCAGATATAACAATACCACTGTAGGTACTGTATTTAATTAGTGATACAGACCAGTGGTGGTTCCAGAAATTTGCAGACAAACAGTCAGAACCAAGAGGTCTACTACTAGAGCCTCAATCAGTGTCCTGGAATAAAAATCCCAGATAGGGTTCATGGGGCAAGCCTTTATGGATTAGTATGGCCTAAAAATGTGCCTTTAGACCACAACATTCGGGACTGGCAATTAAAATTAACATTGTTTTGAGAGGTCTCAGAAATATTGTAAAAAAATTACTACTCTGACATTCTAAAGAAAAAATAATATTTCATGTTCGGACAGACTTCCAAATTCTTGTGTGGGGAAACTGCATGTAGGTACTACTAAACACATTTCCAGGCATCTAGAAAAAACAAGGAAGGATATTTCAAAAGTTTTATGTCTGCAAATTTAAACATTCTTGAATCTCCAAACAATGTAATACCATCATTCAGTAAAAGACAATGGATCAAATGGTTTTAAGATTGTACCTGGATTGCAATGCAAATTCATCTTACTTTATTATACATTTAATATAATTGATTACCCATCCATTTTTCAATTTATCACTTATCAACTACGAAAAGGATGTCGAGGCTATTTAACATTGAACATGTTTTTTTAATAAATTAGTATTAATTTCCTCTTTCAATTGTAAATCATGATTAGGTATAAGTGTACACTTCATTATCTAATCATGTTCAAATAATAGAGAATGCATTACAGGGTGACAATATTCTAATTCAAAAAATGTAATAATAAAACTAATTTTACATTGTTTGAATAAAAAAAAAATTAATACAAAAGCAGCTGCAAAATATTTTGATTTGTCAAAATATTTTGTTATCGTATACACGATAATTCGTTATCGAATCGTCCCAGTTTAAAAATTTCTATCTCTTTTATTTTTTATATGAACAATTGCTTTTTAGCTTTTTATCGTTATCGTTGCAAGTACTGTATAAACATGCCTTTAGCTGGCTTTAACATCGCAGTGTAGTTCACGGGTCGAAGACCATCATGCATACCTAACCATGTCGTAGATGTGCAGGGGCTTAGTCCTAACATTTGTCAAAAAATCTCAATGTTTGCAGCCAGTACCCTTTACAGCATTAGCAAAACATTAAGGCAAAATTCTTAAGTTTATTTTCCAATCAATTTGGTATAGTTTACTGAGAATTATGATGATCTTTTCAGCAAAAAAACAAGGGATGGCTGCGATAGAAATCTCCATGTAAAATACCGCTGTGTCAGTGGATTGTTTATATCTAACACCCAAGTTAGGTCACGTGATCCACATTGCTAAATCCCTCTATTGAAGCAAATTTATCCATTTAAATGCAAAGTAACCAAATACAGCATTTAATTTAATTTTACACTGGTTTTACACAGTAAACTTTCAATAAACCATTGGTGCTTGTTCAATGATTCATCATAGGATAATTTTATGATTACTATTGATGTTAAATTTGTGTAATTAGAAGATTTTTATAAACCAAAGAAAAAAATTGAAGAAAATGTTATTGAATATTGTTCTAATTTTTAATTGATGCAAATTTACCCAACTAAATGCAAATGCAAAGTAACCAAATACAGCATTTAATTTAATTTTACACTGGTTTGCATAATAAAAGAGTAAACTATAAATAAACCATTAGTGTTTGTTTAGTGATTAATCATAAGGTAATTTTATGATGGTTGCTATTGATGCTAAATTTGTGTAAGGGTCTTAAATTAGGAGCAGAATTTTTATAAAGACATCATTCCAAATTTGTTGCGGAGCTCGAGGGAGTGCGGGGCACCGTACCAATTTCCGGGACACTCCCTCGACTCACAGGCGATTCAAGACACCTGGTATTTCAGTTAGCTTGGCATTCTCTACTACAGTATACTATGGCACTACCATAAGAAGCAACTGCAAGAATGTAGATTTCTGTACAAAAAGAGCATAGATTTCTTTATCATTACCAAATATTAATATAATAATATATATTAATTGAACTGAAATTTACTATGTTCGGGAAAAAATACAACAAATAGAGAAAAGAAAAAAGAGAGGAAAAAGATAGGAAAGGAGAAGGGGAGGGAAGAGAGAGAAAAAAAATTATCATCATTTTTTTTTCTTTCTTTTTTCTTTTTAAGTTTCATTTATGTCTCTTTTCAATTTATTCATAAAAAAAGTAATGCATTCTCTGGGAGATGGAATCCGCACCGTCGAGTTTCGGCATTGGTCACGCATCGTCAGGAATTCCTGGCAATGGCGTGAACGGTGTCGAGCGTGGTGGCGTGTATTTCATTTCTTGGGATGTGTATTATAATTTCTTTTCGTTATTAGTTAAGTAAAAAATTCAAAATACTGATAAAATATTAATTAGACAGTTTATTAGTTAAGTAAGAAATGTCTAAAGCAAGACAAATGTACATATGTTATTATTACTCAAGTTACATTGTGAATTATTGTTACACATCTCTTTAGCGATTGTGCATCTGTTACAAAAGAGAAACAATAAAGTTATTATTATTATTATTATTATTATTATTATTATTATTATTATTAGTAATATGATTCACTCCAATTGCGTGCTGTCAAGTGTTCTCGATTAGGCTTAAGTGAAAAATAAACATCTTCCTCCATTTTTCTATTGAAAAGAAGTGGTCATTATTATGAAAATAATTGAATAAATATCACAGCATTGTTTTGTGTCATCGAGAAACAATTTAAAATCGAACCTATATAATAATAGTAAAAATAATTAGAATATTTTTGTATTAACATTTACACTACAATAATTTAGATGCACTTTTGCTAACAGTTCACAGACCTAAAATTTATTTTTGTAAAATCATTATCCTTTACCACAATAACATTTCCCAAAGGGATTTTATTGGTAAGTAATCAGCTAGTCCATAATATACATAGCCTACAAGGAAAAAAAAAGTAGGAAAAAAAACACACTGGCTGGTCACATAGGCTGTTGTACACATTGAGGCTCAGTAAAACTGAGCTGTTATCATATGTGGCCTGAGGCTATGTTAGGCATGAACCTTGGAGTAGGCCAGTAATGCTGAAATGGCTTTTACCTAAGCTGGATAATTAGGAGCCAGTGAATGCACACAACTAATGCTACAGCCTGTAATTCTTTACTCACTTATGCAAATTGAATGAGACTTTGTCAGGCAGAAAAAACACCAAATGCATTTTGGTATTCTTATATAGTTACCTTTCTGCATTATCATTACAAACCTGTTATCTCTAAAGCAATATATAAATAAATACATTAATTTTTATGCATGTAAAGTCATTTTCACATTTTATTAAATATAAAATCCCAAAACAATATATCAATAGTATGTGCTAGTGAACAACCCTTGTAGTAAAATATTTGATTTCCTGGGGAAAACTGTGACATGTAACAAAAATACAAATTATTTTCCAAGAAATTACAGTTTTTCTCCTAATTTCATAAGCAATTCTTTATTACTACTAATAAGTACATTAGTACACATTTTTCATATCCCTATAGCATTCAGTTTTGGTGAAGTGATATCATTTGTGAAAATTGTGCAATTTTAGTCAGAAATTGATAATGTAGCATTTAGTTATTCCTGGAAGTCACCTGAAGGCTATATTAAATATTTTATCATTTAGCAAAGACAAGAATAAAGGTCTGAAATAAACACAAACCAGATTTCTCCCTACTCTCACAGTGGTGTGGGCCATGACCTTTGGACACAACCTTCAACCTCACAGTTCACCAGCCCTTTAAATGCTCCTTAGTGTGAATAATTGGAAACAAAAGAAGAGTCTGCATACTGTAGGCCAACAAAGAACAACCTGACCAACATCAAATAACAATGGTAGCGCAAAACAATGGCAGGAAAAAACAATAGTACACCCAAAATTACAATCCAATCTTAAATCTTTACCATCTTACAAAATAAATTCAGGAAGCTGAAATGACCAATTTGATAATATATGCAGGAAGGTCAAAATACGGGAATGATAAAATAATATTTTTATAATAATTATGTATGACAATATCCATAGGGAAAATAAGATAACCAGTGATGCATTCCAAGATCTTGAAAATCCTGATATTAACCTTCTTTAGAGAAGTCTACTTAGACAATGAGGTAATTTGGTTGTAAGCCTTGCCACCTGGACAAATCATTCAGTAAGGTGTTATTTTTTTCATAATAATGATTTCAAGAATCCTACTGAAGCATGACATTTTGCTAAGATTAAAATCAAACATTTTAGCTTTAGGTCTGACAAAGTACAAAAGCTAATACTAAATTGACTGTTACTGATGTTTATTACCAGATCTTACAATAGTCAATCTTAAATTTTAACTCCAAATAGCATCAACAGCTTACTTTGACTTCAGGCCAACAAATTCTTATTTTATTTTTGTACAAGGTCTACACTCATTAACTAAGAAAAACAATTCATTCAAAGATATATTGTCCCATGCAAAATACCCAAAAAAAAAAAATCATAAAAATCATTTATCAATTAACTTAAAAAATATAACAACTATCAACTTAAACATAAATTAATGTATTTAAAAATTCAATAATTTTTATGCCTAAGTTAATAACATGCATGTTACTGCAAAAGTAGCAAGCTATTTTCAAGATTATTTTGAATGATACTTTTTTCATTTTCAGGGGACAACATACCTTTTAAAACAAAGCTGGAATAACTACTCAAATTAAAATATAAGTTTAACCTTTGTTACAATCTGTATATCAGTAAAAATACTGTACAAGAAATTTGATAACATATTGAAAAATTACTTAATTCCAATTTGAATTTACTCAAATTCATAAGATCTTGCACGGATTATATCGCGATGGCGAAGACAAGGATCTTCGGCAGAGATACCTTGGGAGTGCACTCGTGTTACAACCTTTTACAAGTTGTTAATATATTTTCTACGTGTGTGAAATGGGTAAAATAAGTTGTTAAAGATGTACTGTCCCCTGAAAATGACAAAAAAATCATTTTCAAATTAACTTGCTCATTTAGTAGGAACATAATAATTATTAACTTTAGCCTAGAAATTACTGAATTTATCGTTATTTATACTGGATAACGTTTTTTATCAGTTTTTTCTGTTAATTGATGGGTAAATCTTTTTTAAATAAACTAATTTCTATGTTCACGTTGATGTTGTTTAAGTTACATCAAATTTTGCAAGGGACAATATTCTTTAAACAGCATGTCACCAGTGTGAAACGTTGTTAATGTATAACAGATACCTTGACCTCTTTACTGGTTTTATGATGTCAAGTCCAAGTCAAGTCAAGTATTATCCAAATTCAGCACTATTATTCATTGAATATAAAAAAATTGAACAAAATTTGAGAAAGCTTCTACTAATCATCTAAGAATAGCCATTTATACTAAGCCACAACACAGATAGATAAGCATCAAATACCATCAAGTCTTCATTATACTAAATTTATAGTCACAGTATTTTAAACTTTAGCTGTGAATGCATTATTGTACAAAATATTCAGTTTGCTGCTCACGTCTGTCTCTCTTTTTCTTTTTTTTTTTTTAGATAACATACTGTAAATCTCTGGAATAACCGAGACACCAAACACGATTGTTTTTATCACTAAGCACTGCTCTCAAATAAGAAACATAGTTTGTTAAAGATATTACTGTACTCTATTTATGAATAAATATTGCAATACACATCCTGCAACAAGCCAGATAAACATGAGGCTGGTGAAGAAATGCATTGGCTGTGTTTTCAGGTAACATTTTTGAATACTTTCTGTTGTTTTCCTTGTTATTTTTTCTACTGTACTGCCTCTAGCACTTGAATTGGATATAGTGCTATACAAAGTTCAAACAATATACGTTTTGTAGGTCTTCTACTAGTGTTGGCCTGAACAATGTTTGCAGATTTTCTGAAGTTGGAACAAGAAATAGAATCTATCCACTGCTAGTATAAACTTAAAAGAACTAATAAAACAAGGCGGGTAGGAGTACAGATTTAATCACTGGTTTCTAAAGTCCAAAAACGTGTCAAAAACAATGTAACTCCGCAATAAAAGAAAATACGGAACTCCTCTTTTTAAAACTGAATGCTGCAAGAATAGTCCCATTCTCTACCTTTTGAAATTGATCAAAAATTTGAAGGCGATTCTGGTTTCTGGTCTCTTTTTTTGTTTTGAATTTTATGTATTTTTGTAATGAATTTGAATGCAGTTTGTATCAAATTTTAACTTGCATCTGTAAAATTTTTTGTACAAGTAATTAAATTCAGCATCTGCTGCTAAAGTATTTCTTGTGCAGTAATTATTATTAATAAATATACTGATATATTTAAAATTAGTTTTAGCTACATGCAAGTCTCCATTTTTTAAATTTGCTTACTTAATATAAATAATACAGTATTTACGTTTTAATTCTTACCTTCTTTTGAAGTATGACATACGATAACCAAAATAACAGTGCATTTAAACGTTGCTACATAGTGTTATGTGCAAATAAATATTTACAATTTTAAATACAATTATTTTGGTAACATTTACAATAAATATTTACATGCACAGATGTTAATATTTTTATATCTTACCAAAATAATTGCAATGTTAATATTTTTAAATCAAATTTTGTAATCAAATACTTAAAAAAGGATAAATGTTATCCATATTCTTGTTTAGGACTTGGCAACTAGTTTACTATTTTATACGGTAAAATATGAAATACCAGGTTAATAATTTACAGATCAATACATTGACCACCAAATCACTCTTTTTTTTTACCAAGTCAATATCTTATCATACTGATCATATAATTAATCATTTTTTTGTAGCTTTTCTTGAATTTCTTTTTGTTTTGTATGAATTGCTTTATGTTTTTAATAATATTTATATGTTAGTTGTTTAGTTTCTTATTACTGATGTTGTGAGGGCCTCATAAAGTCAACACTGCTGCTAGCGCTACCCTTGTAAAAGAAAGTTAAATAAATAAATAATAAATTATTATCACATCAGGCTTGCCATCACAAAAACAGCATACTGTCGCTATTGTTAAAATGAGTAATAGACCTTTCCGGAGTGTCAATCAAACTTAACAACTGACCAATCAGAACAGTGCTAGGAATGCGCCCGCGTCTTATGGGACCTTAGCAACAATATCCAAGGGGCGGAGCTTAGCGGAAATGTCTATTAGCATAAGAATGTGGTAGTATTGTATATTTTAGTACAGAGAAACCACTATACCACTATACTTTTACTCATAAATGACCCATCATTTCAAAGCTGATATGGAGAACATATTAAAAAGTTAATTTTCATGGGGTACATTTTTCTTAAATATGAAAATAAAATTTGTAATTGTTTATTTCAAAGAATCACAATATGTTAACATGGAAAAAAAATAACTGATTTACACTTATGAAAATCCTTGAATAACAAACTATAATACAAAATATAATATAAATACAAAATATACAACAGAATATAATTTATTTATTTCTAAATAATAGATTTATCTAAATTGTTCATTGATTGGCTCAGATTTTTTTCATTCTACCTTCCAGCTGATGCTAAAACATTAAAAAAGGTAGAAGTGTAGGCCTATTTTAAAAAATCCTTCATAATTTATTAGGTTTGCTGCAGACTTTAACTATATTGAATACGAATGTAGTGCAGTGCTAATTTTTTGTACGCAGCTGGTATATAGACAATCTACTGTATCCAGCTAGGCTATCAGCAAATGAATAATTCATAGGCTTACCATCTAGCCAGCAAGAGTAATAGGAAACCTAGCTAATGATAAACCAATGGAAAACACTCAATGCTTCGTTGCATCTCTCGGGCTATGGAAACATTCCCAATTTGTCTTTGAGGGAATAAAAACACTAGGTCAGAATTTAACAATTATTGTCTCAATTCCCTAGGAGAATGAATGCACTTTTTAGCTTTGATAATAGAAACTGAAAGATTCGCAAAAGGCATAAAATGTTATCTTGGTATGCACGAAAGAACGCGTGCAATGATCGACAGATCAGGGTTTGTGTGGTTAATTGGTGGTATTTTTCATGCAAGATATTTTATCTAATTTGTCTTAATCGATCAATCAATCAGTATCGATAAAAAAAACTTACATTTAACACACACTGTAAGGGGAGACTTTTTTTATAACTTGATTAGCGAACCTGCCGCCCGCCAATAATGATGACTTTGAACTAAAATAATTTTTTTTTGGCCATTAAGGCCTGTTTACACTTCAACGATAACGATAAAAAAGCTAAAAAGCGATTATTCATATAGAAAACAAAAGAAACAAGAGAAATTTTTACACTAGGACGATTAGATAACGATTTATCGTGTATACGATAACAAAATATTTTAACAAATCAAATCAGATGACGTCATAATCATGGAAAAACGATAAAATCGTTTACTACTACGATTTTAATGTTTTCCCATGGTTATGAAGTCATCTGATTTGATTTGTCAAAATATGTTGTTATCGCATAACTTATAAATTGTTATCGAATCGTTATAGTGTAAAAACTTCCCTTATTTCTTTTATTTTCTATATGAACAATTGCTTTTTATCGTTATCGTTGAAGTATAAACAGGCCTTTATTATGCAAGCTGCTGCCTTGAAATCTAAAAAAATAAGATGTACATTTCTTCCTAATTATATAAATTTTAAGCATTTAACCATCCCATCACTACACTGTTTACATTCATCAATAGTAC